AGTTTCAGCAACCCAATATATAACATCTTGTTTGATCCCATATATTATATTCATACCGCTCTGTGTTACTCATCGAATATATGGTTAAAATTTCTATGCCAAAATTCATTTCTCTAACGTATATTTCTCTCACGTAGTCACGATTCATTCTCTTAGACTGGTGATTCCGGCAAAAGATAATTCTTTCTGCATATTTGTTTAGATATTTGTCCGTAATGAATGAAGGTCTCCACACTGATATATCGATTCTCCATGATATGCAATATCGTAATATACTTTGCTACACTTTCCTCAATGAAGTAATGGAGAATTATTTATATATTTATATATATTATATATATTTTGTGTGTGATATTTCTCACGTAACTATCCTCACGAGACTTGCTGTGCGCAACAATTTACAGCACTGTGCCTTACTTCCTTTTATATCATTAGTATCATAGACAACGAAAAAATTATATATACATATTCTTTATCCGCATCTCACAGAGAATTGTCCCATAGGAAATATCACGTCTATGGCAAATAAGAGATCTTTGAAAATATCAGTATAATTGATGGATTAACTTAAATTCAGATACGAAGAATTCATGTCCATTATGGATACAAAGCCAAAAGTGGCTCATAACAGTCTATAACACATGTTCTGGAATTAAATTTTAGTTTATTTGTTATAAAATTATCATTATTTAAACAAATTTACGTATGACTTTTTACAATACGTTACTTATGTGTGAACATAAATTCTATTGATTTATATGGGCAGTTTAAAAAAAAAAGTTCATGGTTTTTTGGAGAGCATATTCATTAAGTGAAAGATGTTTAATTAACATGCAATTTTGATTATTTTATAAACAGAAATTCTCGATTTGAATGTCGAGCGTAACCTAATTTGTTTCATCTTCGAAAAGATAATTTTCTTTATTACATATATTTTGCATAATATTTATTTAAATATCCTACTTAATCCTATGAATGCTTTCTCTTTAAATGCCCTGTATCTGAATGATGTCAGAAGTGAAGACAATACAAGCTTAACTTTCAACAAATTAGGATACACGTCATTCCTTAAATAATTACACATTCCTTGACAAAATCTGAATAATTTTCAGTTCGTCGAAAATTATGTGCTGTCCCGTTGTTACACCTTACTAATTAATGTACTTTGGCATTGAAATTTTATCAGACATCAGGAATTTCAAAATTTGTCATCGCACACTTCTTGATATTTAAAGCAGAATAGCTTAAAGGTGCGAAATCTTCAGCAAAAATAGATAAAACTTAGATTATTATGGCATATAGTATTTATATAGAAGAGACGTTTTCTTCCCTTTTTTTAGCAGTACGATTGTAACATTTCTCCAAAGTTACATTTCTCTGGAATCAATAATTTTTATCTTATTGGGTTATACATAGAAATGAGTCAGTCTATTATATTTTAGAAGAAACTTTCCATTGACAAGAAGAGTTACAAGAATTGGGAAAAGCTAGATGTCTCATTTTGTATGCCTATATGCAATGAAGCCACATTAAATTGAGTACAATTTACATATTTTACATGTAAATATTATACATGATGAGTGAAGACTGCAAGCTGATAAGGTGCCGTCTAAAAGCTCTTTTTACGATTAATTATCAGGATTATTTTTATGAACTAAATTTGTATGAACGCGGAGAATTGAATTAAAAACAATCTTATTCTACAAAATTAGATCGATAAAGTAGATTGATAGGAATAGATCGAGAGAAAGATTTTTAAGTTTTACCATTCTTTTATAGAAATCTGCAAAATAAAATAAGAGCACTTAAAAATATTATTTTCTAAATTGAGTTGTTTTGGAATGGCATGAGAAAATTCCGAAA